ATTTTTACTCTCCCTTTTCTTCTGAACTGTGTGGCTGACAGGGACCTGGTGCTCCAGCCGGGTGTCAAGCCTGAGCCTTAGAGATGGAAGAGCAGAGTTCAGGACATTGGATCACCAGAGACCTCCTGGCCCCACATAATATCAATCAGCAAGACCTCTCCCAGAGATATACGTCTCAACACTAAGACCCAGCTCCACTCCAACCAGAAAGCTCCAGTGCTGGACACCCCATGCCAAACAACTAGCAAGAAAGGAACACAACCCCACCAATTAGCAGAGAGGCTGTCTAAAAGCATAACAAGTGCACAGACACCCCAAAACACACCACCAGACTTGGTCCTGCCTACCAGAAAACAAGATCCAGCCTCATCCACCAGAACACAGGCACTAGTCCCCTCCACTGGGGGTTCAGCCCAACCCACTGAACCAACCTTAGCCACTGGGGGCAGACACCAAAAACAACAGGAACTACAAACCTGAAGCCTGTGACAAGGAGACACCAAACACAGTAAGTTAAGCAAAATGAGAGACAGAGAAATACACAGCTGTTGAAGGAGCAAGGTAAAAACCCACCAGACCAAACAAATGAAGAGGAACTAGGTAATCTACCTGAAAAAGAATTCAGAGTAATGATAGTAAAGATGATCCAAAACCTTAGAAATAGAATGGAGAAAATACAAGAAACATTTAACAAGGACCTAGAAGAACTAAAGAGCAAACAAACTATGCTAAACAACACAATAAATGAAATTAAAAATTCTCTAGAAGGAATCAATAGCAGAATAACTGAGGCAGAAGAACAGACAAGTGACTTGGAAGATAAAATACTGGAAATAACTACCACAGACCAGAATAAAGGAAAAAGAATGAAAAGAATAGAGGACAGTCTCAGAGACCTCTGGGATAATATTAAACACACCAACATTCTAATTATAGGAGTCCCCAAAGGAAGAGAAAAAGAAAGAGTATGAGAAAATATTTGAAGAGATTACAGTTGAAAACTTCCCTAATATGAGAAAGGAAATAGTCAATCAAGTACAGGAAGCACAGAGAGTCCCATACAGCATAAATCCAAGGAGAAACACACCAAGACACATATTAATCAAATTATCAAAAATTAAATACAAAGAAAAAAATTAAAAGCAGCAAGGGAAAAGCAGCAAATAACATATAAGGGAATCCCCATAAGGTTAACAGCTGATCTTTCAGCAGAAACTCTGCAAGCCAGAAGGGAGTGGCAGGACATCTTTAAAGTGATGAAAGGGAAAAACCTACAACCAAGATTACTCTACCCAGCAAGGATATCATTCAGATTTGACAGAGAAATTAAAACCTTTACAAACAAGTAAAAGCTAAGAGAATTCAGCACCACTAAACCAGCTTTACAACAAGTGCAAAAGGAACTTCTCTAGGCAGGAAATACAAGAGAAGGAAAAGACCTACAATAACAAAACCAAAACAATTACAAAAATGGTAATAGGAACACACATATCAATAATTACCTTAAATATAAATAGATTAAATACTCCAACCAAAAGACAGAGGCTTGCTGAATGGATACAAAAACAAGATCCATATATATGCTGTCTACAAGAAACCCACTTGAGACCTAGTGACACATACAGACTGAAAGTGAGGGGATGGAAAAAGATATTCCATGCAAATGGAGATCAAAAGAAAGCTGGAGTAGCAATACTCATATCAGACAAAATAAACTTTAAAATAAAGACTATTACAAAGGACAAAGAAGGACACTACATAATGGTCAAGGGATCAATCCAAGAAGAAGATATAACAATTGTAAATATTTATGCACCCAACATAGGAGCACCTCAATACATAAGGCAATTGCTAACAGCCATAAAAGGGGAAATCAACAGTAACACAATCATAGCAGGGTACTTTAACACCCCACTTTCACCAATGGACAGATCAACAAAAATGAAAATAAATAAGGAAACACATCCTTTAAATGACACATTAAACAAGATGGACTTAATTGATATCTATAGGACATCCCATCCAAAACCAACAGAATACTCTTTCTTCTCAAGTGCTCATGGAACATTCTCCAGGATAGATCATATCTTGGGTCAGAAATCAAGCCTTGGTAAATTTAATAAAATTGAAATCGTATCAAGTATCTTTTCTGACCACAACGCTATGAGAATAGATATAAATTACAGGAAAATAAACTGTAAAAAACACAAAAAAACCATGGAGGCTAAACAATATGCTACTAAATAACCAAGAGGTCACTGAAGAAATCAAAGAGGAAATCAAAAAATACCTAGAAACATATGACAATGAAAACACGATGACCCAAAACCTATGGGATGCAGCAAAAGCAGTTCTAAGAGGGAAGTTTATAGCAAGAAAATCCTAACTCAAGAAATAAGAAATATCTGAAATAAACAACCTAACCTTACACCTAAAGCTATTAGAGAAAAAAGAACAAAAAAATCCCCAAAATTAGCAGAAGGAAAGAAATCATAAAGATCAGATCAGAAATAAATGGAAAAGAAATGAAGGAAATGATAGCAAAGATCAATAAAACTAAAATCTGGTTCTTTGAGAAGATAAACAAAATTGATAAACCATTAGCCAGACTTACCATGAAAAAAAGGGAGAAGACTCAAATCAACAGAATTAGAAATGAAAAAGGAGAAGTAACAACTGACACTGCAGAAATACAAACGATCATGAGAGATTACTACAAGCAACTATATGTCAATACAATGGATAACCTGGAAGAAATGGACAAATTCTTAGAAAAGCACAAGCTTCCAAGACTGAACCAGGAAGAAATAGAAAATATAAACAGACCAATCACAAGAACTGAAATTGAAACATGATTAAAAACCTTCCAACAAACAAAAGCCCAGGACCAGATGGCTTCACAGGCGAATTCTAGCAAACATTTAGAGAAGAGCTAACACCTATCTTTCTCAAACTCTTCCAAAATATAGCAAAGGGAGGAACACTCCTAAACTCATTCTAAGAGACCACCATCACCCTGATACCAAAACCAGGCAAAGAGGTCACAAAAAAAGAAAACTACAGGCCAATATCACTGATGAACATAGACGCGAAAATGTTCAACAAAATACTAACAAACAGAATCCAACAGCACATTAAAAGGATCATACAGCATGATCGAGGGGATTTTTTCCCAGGAATGCAAGGATTCTTCACTATATGCAAATCAATCAATGTGATAAACCATATTAACAAATTGAAGGAGAAAAACCATATGATCATCTCAATAATGCAGGAAAAGCTTTTAGCAAAATTCAACACTCATTTATGACAAAAACTCTCCAGAAAGTAGACATAGAGGGAAATTACATCAACATAATAAAGACCATATATGACAAACGCACAGCCAACATCGTTCTCAATGGTGAAAAACTCAAACCATCTCCACTAAGATCAGGAACAAGACAAGGTTGCCCACTCTCACCACTTATTCAACATAGTTTTGGAAGTTTTAGCCACAGCAATCAGAGAATAAAAAGAAGTAAAAGCAATCCAAATCGGAAAAGAAGTGAAACTGTCACTGTTTGCAGATAACATCATACTATACATAGAGAATCCTAAAGATGCTAACAGAAAACTACTAGAGCTAATCAATGAATTTGGTAAAGTAGCAGGATACAAAGTTAATGCACAGAAATCTCTTGCATTCCTATACACTAATGATGAAAAATCTGAAAGAGAAATTAAGGAAACACTCCCATTTACCACTGCAACAAAAAGAATAAAATACCTGGAATAAACCTACCTAAGTAGGCCAAAGACCTCTATTATATTTTTCAGCTCCAGCATATTTAGGGAGTTTCCCATGACTTATTATAGTAAAAAAGCCACGTGCTCTCTCAAGAAATGTGTATTCTATATAATGACAAATGAATAGGTAGTGTAATATGACACAAAAAGCACTGGACTGGGAGTCAGGACTACTATTAACTGGCTGTGTGAGCCTTGGAGAAATAAGTGAACCTGTTGTCTTGGCTTCAGTTTCATCTTCAGGAAAATTGAAGTAAATGGACTAGAATCTCTAGGTCATGGGTCTTTAATTGCTATATGTAGAATAACCATTATGTGTGCTGAGGACCAAACTAGCCCAAGTGGTGGCTGGTCAGCAGCCAATGTCAGGGTGATTGGAAGAGAAAGATTGGAGAAAGTGATTTCCAAGTTGAAGGCCAGCTTTGGAGAAACCTGCAACTACAGAAGGTGAAGCATGGTAAGTATGGTAGATGAACAGGCAAGCCCATGCCTGAAGGTTTTTTTTGTTTAATATTTTTTCATGTAATTCAAGAGGAATGCAAGTGATGTTGACCACTAAGAAGAGAAATAATCTGATTAAAGGGAGATTTGAAGAGGGAATTCTCAGGGCTCCACTAAGGTGCCTGGAAGGTGAGGGAGTGGAGCACAGGCTTTATGGTGGTCACTGACCCAATCACAGCAGAGCATTTCCACTTGCCACTCCTCCCATCAGTCCCCTCTATGACTTTGGAGACTGTTACAAAATGTTTGCTTAATAGTTATTTGAGTATTTGTATCTTTTATGTACTTTTCCAAGCATTTCAAATTTTTCAAAAATTATGTTAAGATAAAATATGTCCTGAATAATGCTCCCCAAATTTTTAAACTGAGAAGACATGTCTAAGTAGCAATTTGATTCTGGCAAATAAAGTGTGTTAAATTTAAAATTTCATGGGTCAAATTTATACAGAAGACAGGTGGGAGAAAAATTCTTTGAAAGACAAACACATTGTGTGCTTCTTGCCAATAAGAATGTAATACTTCCTCATTGTCATTAATAAAAGATAATACACACTTTCAAAGTTCTGTAGACACTAAAAAGAAAGAAAACACTCAAATGCGTCACCTATTTCCATATTCAAGTCTAAGAAGCTATATAAATTCCTCCAGCCTCTGGCAGAAAACACCAAACCAACCATAAGTCCGAGAGCAATCATCTCTGGACAGCAGCTATGCAGCTGGCCGTGCTGACTGTGCTGTACGCTGTGAGTATGCTGCCTGGCACCCTGGCCCTGCAGCTTCCCCAGAAGGCAGGAGGCATGAGTGAGCTGCCGTGGGAACAGGCTCAGGTAGGTCACTGGCCCACTCACCTGGGCCTCCACAGGCTCACCATCAGCATTAGGAAGTATGTTTTTCAATTTTAATAATTTTTCTGATTATATAGGTAATATATGTTTTAATCAAGTAGCTGTTAAGAGCAAGCTTTGGAGCCTGCCCAAAGCGGATTCAAGTTCCAACTCCTCCACTCAACTGTGTAGATGAACACAGGAATGTTATTAAACTTCTCTGACCTTCAGTTTTCTAATTTGGAAGTTGGATAATATAATGATATCAACCAAATGGGGGTGTTGTGAAGCACTTCACAGAGTACCTGAGACATATTCAATAAATTGAAGTCCTTATTGCTACTATTATTTATTGTAACTCGAGATTTTTCTCATAAAGAGCAAAGTGTTGCCTCTTAAGATGAGGACTGCTTGTGATGGAGAGACTTGAAAAGAAAAAATGAGGGTATAAGTCACAGTCCTCCCACTAACAAGCCAGTGATGATGGGCAAGGCATGAACTTCTGACTTTGTTATCTCATATATCTAATAGAGACAATAATACTGTGTTTTATACCTCACAGGATTATTCTAGTGAATAAAGGAAGTGGTAACAATAGCAATTATCATGTATGTAACAATTACAGACTATAAAGTACTTCATATACATTGTGTCATTGAATCCTTAGCTCTATTCTGGGAAAAAGAAGAAACCAAAGTAAGATAAATTCACATACTTACTAACTGTAGATATAAGAGTCAAGGACAATGGAATAGGATAGAAAGCCCAGAGATAAACCCACGCACATATGGACACCTTATCTTTGATAAAGGTGGCAGGAACATACAGTGGAGAAAGGACAGCTTCTTCAATAAGTGGTGCTGGGAAAACTGGACAGGTACATGTAAAAGTATGAGATTAGATCACTCCCTAACACCATACACAAAAATAAGCTCAAAATGGATTAAAGACCTAAATGTAAGGCCAGAAACTATCAAACTCTTAGAGGAAAACATAGGCAGAACACTCCATGACATAAATCACAGCAAGATCCTTCTTGACCCATCTCCTAGAGTAATGGAGATAAAAACAAAAATAAACAAATGGGACCTAATGAAACTTCAAAGCTTTTGCACAGCAAAGGAAACCATAAACAAGACCAAAAGACAGCCCTCAGAATGGGAGAAAATATTTGCAAATGAATCAACTGACAAAGGATTAATCTCTAAAATTTACAGGCAGCTCATGCAGCTCAATAACAAAAAAATAAACAACCCAATCCAAAAATGGGCAGAAGACCTAAATAGACATTTCTCCAAAGAAGATATACAGACTGCCAACAAACACATGAAAGAATGCTCAACATCATTAATCATTAGAGAAATGCAAATCAAAACTACAATGAGATATCATCTCACACCAGTCAGAATGGCCATCATCAAAAAATCTAGAAACAATAAATGCTGGAGAGGGTGTGGAGAAAAGGGAACACTCTTGCACTGCTGGTGGGAATGTGAATTGGTTCAGCCACTATGGAGAACAGTATGGAGGTTCCTTAAAAAACTACAAATAGAACTACCATATGACCCAGCAATCCCACTACTAGGTATATACCCTGAGGAAACCAGAATTCAGAAAGAGTCATGTACCAAAATGTTCATTGCAGCTCTATTTACAATAGCCCGGAGATGGAAACAACCTAAGTGCCCGTCGTCGGATGAATGGATAAAGAAGATGTGGCACATATATACAATGGAATATTACTCAGCCATAAAAAGAAACGAAATTGAGCTATTTGTAATGAGGTGGATAGATCTAGAGTCTGTCATACAGAGTGAAGTAAGTCAGAAAGAGAAGGACAAATACCGTATGCTAACACATATATATGGAATTTAAGAAAAAAAAATGTTATGAAGAACCTAGGGGTAAAACAGGAATAAAGACAGAGACCTACTGGAGAACAGACTTGAGGATATGGGGAGGGGGAAGGGTGAGGTGTGTTAGGGCGAGAGAGAGACATGGACATATATATACTAACAAACGTAAGGTAGATAGCCAGTGGGAAGCAGCCGCATGGCACAGGGAAACCGGCTCGGTTCTTTGTGGCTGTCTGGAGGGGTGGGATAGGGAGGGTGGGAGGGAGGGAGACAAAGAGGGAAGAGATATGGGAACATATGTATATGTATAACTGATTCACTCTGTTATAAAGCAGAAACTAACACACCATTGTAAAGCAATTATACCCCAATAAAGATGTTAAAAAAAAAAAAAGAGTCAAGGACAAGTTCTGGTTCAAAAATCATGTTCTTTCCAATATACTACTTAATAAGTAGCCTAATAAGTGTAAGTAATTATTACCTGGTAAAATAATGGGACATCTACTCCTAAGTATTGTTTATAAATTTAAGCCTTAAGCATAAGAAAAGTTGTGTTTTATTTCACACTAACTTTGACTTTTTATAAGTCCATGTAATACATTGGACTGAACCATATGAAATCAGTGATATTTGACAGTTTTTTTTTTTTCTCCAAAGGAGCAATTTCATATGGGTCCACCTAATGGACTCTACAGGAGGAGTACACTTGCAAGAGTATTGAGTCCCTTTACGCATGGTGCACGTTGTCAATAAACCAGAGGGAGGTTCTCTAGGTTTAAAGGAAGGCAGGAAAATTCATCTTAAGGATGCAGAGAGATTTCTTACAAAGGGTGTCTTTGTAAAGCCTGTAGCCCTGGAAGGGAAAAAAATGAGCTATTTGTTTTCAAATCAGGGATTAATTGCTAATTGTCATGGGTGAATAATAAGTGTTTGTTGTATTGAATGAAATACAGTCATTGGTAACAGGAAGACAGAGCACAATATTGCTAAGGTTACTTATATAAAGTGCATACTCCTAAGCGTTCTCAGACAAGTAAATATTACCACCTACTCCAAATTAGATTGCAAATGAGTGATCCAATGTTTAAATCATTTCAAAGATATTATCACACATTATATAACACTATACATTTTTTTGATGAAATGGGCTTTGGAATCAGAACACAAGTTCAAATACCAGCTCCTTTGGTTACTCATGGGGTGACCTCATGCATCTTATTTCACTCTTCTGAGCCATGATTCTTCAAATGTGATATAGGAAAATAATGCCATACCTTACTTCACAGGGTGGTTATGAGGTTTAAATGAGGTAAGTAATGTAAAGCTCCTGGTATAGTCCCTGGCACTAGTAAGTGCTTAATATAAGTCCTTTGCTGCTGTTGTTATTTCATTCACTTTCTATTTTTTCCTATTTAGGCTGCTGGACTGCCATCCTCATACCCATTCACTAGTGTCCTTTAAGAAATTCCCAGGGACCCGATTGCCCATGGAATACACCTGAGAGACCTGCTTTATCCTGCAGTCTCACAAAGAGGGTTTTACTAAGGAGTTAGCCATGGAAAGAGCACTGGCCTGGTAGTCAAGAAACTCAGAGCCAGTTCTTATACTAACTTAACATGTGACCCCAGGGCAAATCATTTAGTTACTAAGAGTTCTGATTTCTTCACCTGGAGAATACGTATATAAAACAAAATAATGTCATAATAACCTTTCCCAGGACTAAAATGTTAAGACCTTTAACCTCAGCTGGGACCTGATCTCCAGAGAATTTTAGAAAGGGCTGGGTGACTTTGATTCGCCCCATAGGGTCTCTGATGCCAAGGGGAGGTCTCAGCTGTGCCTCTTGAGGGCACACTGGGCACTTTTCCTGATTGGCTATTACAAACAAGTCTATGTTTTATAAAGTATACAGTGTGTTTCTCTTCAAAACATTTAATGGGATAAAAGAAAAGTGGAGGGACTCTTGCTCATGAAATGAAATGGCAGTGCTTCATCATCAATATTAAGTTTTCTTTTCATTAATGCACTCTTGTTTTACTTGGTTACTATGTAAGTATTCTGCCTTCACACTACTATTTGGGTCCACAGGAGTCAGAAGCAAAGATATGCAGACTTCTGAACTAAAAGAAGAAAATAAACAAGAATTATAGATCAATTACTCTCTTTCCAATAGGACTATCTGAAGAGATTTTATCCATCTGAGTCAAAAATAAGGGACCCCAATTGTTTAGAAGTCGAACTCAAGCAGATGCAAAAATTCTTTCACCTGCCCATAACTGCAACATTAAGCTCCCATATTATAGAAATCATACGGAAGCCCAGATGTGGAGTGCCAGATGTTGCAGAATATTCCCTATTTCCAGATCGCCCAAAATGGACTTCCAAAGTAGTCACCTACAGGTTTGTTTTGCTTTGGCTCATTTTAGCAAAAACAGTAAAGCCTATTTCCTAAAAGGTCAAACATTGTTTTCTTGTTTTCTACCAGGATCGTGTCATATACTCGAGACTTACCACATGTCATAGTGAATTAATTAGTGGCAAAGGCCTTCAACGTGTGGAGCAAAGAGATCCCACTGAGCTTCAAGAGAGTTAGCTGGGGAATTGCTGATATCATGATTGGCTTTGCAAGAGGAGGTAAGGAAGATTCCTGCAGGCTGATCCTGTGTGCTATTTTGCTTGTTGTTTATACCAGTGCCCTCCTCTTTCTGGGATATAAAATCTTTAAAGAGATATAGATAGATGATAGATGATAGATAGATAGATAGATAGATGATAGATAGATCATCTCACTAAAGATCAATGTTCTTACACTTTTTCTAGTCCATTAACTTAGAGCCACTTTTTATAGCAGAAGATGGCAAACTATGGCCCATGAGCCAAATCTGTAAGTAGTTATTAGAACACAGCCATGGTCCTTCATTTACCTATTGTCTATGAGAGCTTTGGGGCTACAACGGCAGACTTCAGCAATTCCGACAGAGGTCTTCAAGCCCACAAATCTGGTCCTTCACAGAAAATGTTTGCCAACCTCTGTTTTGTAACATGAACCATGATATACATATATATTTATGGGACAGTTTAAAATATATCTAACTAACATCAACATTAAACCAAAAGAAGAGGTTACAACTTCCAAAGGCCTTAAGTGGTCTCCAAGAAGTGAACAGTCCCTGTGGCTTATTGCCAACACCCTTCATGTAGTAAAAAGTAGAAAATAGAGAATTTTCACATTAAAGGGCTTAAGGAGATATAACCCATATACATGAACTGCTATTAATTGCTGGTGTTTCATGATGCAAATTTAGAGGAAAATGTTGGTCTTTTTGGCCTGCTTTAATGTTAAACTTCCTGGGTGCTGTGAATTTAGCCGAAATTTGAGCTTCAACCACAATATCAACAAGACTGAAGAAAACCTTACAGAAAAGCACTGATCATGGCACTCCATGTTTTTCAAGAACAGGATAAACTGGATATGGCCTGACACCAATTTGAAAATAAATGTCTCTGCATCACAAATAAAAGCACTATCAAAATCTATTTTAAGACACCTTGAGCACAGTTCTTCAAGAGACCGTCTACTACATCCACAAAGAAAAAGCTGGGTTTTTAAGAAAATGTATATTAAATGGTATGCAATTACCTGCTGAATCCAGTACTCAAACTCATTGTCCACTCTGCCACCATCCAGCTAAGGAAAATGATCAAATATAACACTTAGATGCCACCATAAGTAGGATGTGAATGTATTTAAAGTCCATATCAGTAAGCTTTCAACATGTGGTGGTTATCAGGGATGAGCAGTGGTTCTGTGAAAGAAAAAGTCCCTGTGACAAATAAACACCCAAACTACCCTGTGTATGCAGCTGACTGCTTGGGGCTAATCTTTCTAACCTCGATAATCATGTACTGTAAACTAAAAGATGAAATGACTGGAGATAAATTCAGTCACTAAAGGCAATTACCACTTTTTCTTTCAGCTCACGGGGACCCCGACCCATTTGATGGGCCAGGAAACACACTGGCTCATGCCTTTGCACCTGGGCCAGGCCTGGGAGGAGATGCTCACTTTGATGAGGATGAACGCTGGACTGATGCTAGCAATATAGGTACAGCATCCTAAATCTCTTCCACTACATATCCTTTTTAAAATCCTGAACTTTTTATATTTAACTATCTTTAATTTGACAATTGAAAGCAATTAATAATAGTTATTGAGCGCTTTCTAACTGCCACCTCTGTGCTTTAAATGCATTATTGCATTTAATATGCTCATAATGCTCCATATATAGAAGACAGACACTCAGGCTACAGAGTCAACAAATGTTGGGTTCAATTTGCTTTACCTCTACCAATTACTCACTTTGTGTCTTTGGGCAAGTTATTTAATTTCTCTGAGCCTCAGTTTCCTTATCTATGAAATGGGACTATAAATAATTCCTACCTCACAGGATTGCTGTTGGAATTAAATGAGATAATGCTTATGCAGTGCTTAGCACAGTGCTTGGTATATATTAATAATTCAATAAATTATAGCTCTTCTATATATAACTCCAAAATAAGTTTTTTAATTGAAGGTGAAAGAGGAGCAGAGACTATGATATTTGAGAAGTATATACAGTTCTGATATTATTCACTGTTTTTCAGAAAGAACCCACACCATAACCCAGCCTATCATATTCATCACTTTACAAAGTAGAAGATCATAGACAAAACAAAAAACTAATGAAGAGGAGCTCTAGAGAAATAATCCTAACTGGAGACAATGCTTTTTTTCTTTTTTTTTTACATCTTTATTGGAGTATAATTGTTTTACAATGGTGTGTTAGTTTCTGCTTTATAAAAGTGAATCAAATCCCACCCCTCCAGACAGCCACAAAGAACCGAGCCGGTTTCCCTGTGCCATGCGGCTGCTTCCCACTGGCTATCTACCTTACGTTTGTTAGTATATATATGTCCATGTCTCTCTCTCGCCCTAACACAGCTCACCCTTCCCCCTCCCCATATCCTCAAGTCTGTTCTCCAGTAGGTCTCTGTCTTTATTCCTGTTTTACCCCTAGGTTCTTCATAACATTTTTTTTTCTTAAATTCCATATATATGTGTTAGCATACATACGGTATTTGTCTTTCTCTTTCTGACTTACTTCACTCTGTATGACAGACTCTAGGTCCATCCACCTCATTACAAATAGCTCAATTTTGTTTCTTTTTATGGCTATTATTCCATTGTATATACGTGCCACATCTTCTTTACACATTCATCCGATGATGGACACTTAGGTTGTTTCCATCTCCGGGCTATTGTAAATAGAGCTGCAATGAACATTTTGGTACATGACTCTTTTTGAATTATGGTTTTCTCAGGGTATATGCCCAGTAGTGGGATTGCTGAGTCATATGGTAGTTCTATTTGTAGTTTTTTAAGGAACCTCCATACTGTTCTCCATAGTGACTGTACCAACTCACATTCCCACCAGCAGTGCAAGAGTGTTCCCTTTTCTCCACACCCTCTCCAGCATTTATTGTTTCCAGATTTTTTGATGATGGCCATTCTGACTGGTGTGAGATGATATCTCATTGTAGTTTTGATTTGCATTTCTCTAATGATTAATGATGTTGAGCATTCTTTCATGTGTTTGTTGGCAGTCTGTATATCTTCTTTGGAGAAATGTCTATTTAGGTCTTCTGCCCATTTTGGGACTGGGTTGTTTGTTTTTTGTTATTGAGCTGCATGAGCTGCTTGTAAATTTTGGAGATTAATCCTTTGTCAGCTGCTTCATTTGCAAATATCTTCTCCCATTTTGAGGGTTGTCTTTTGGTCTTGTTTATGGTTTCCTTTGCTGTGCAAAAGCTTTGAAGTTTCATTAGGTCCTATTTGTTTATTTTTGTTTTTATTTCCATTTCTCTCGGAGGTGGGTCAAAAAGGATCTTGCTGTGATTTATGTCATAGAGTGTTCTGCCTATGTTTTCCTCTAAGAGTTTTATAGTTTCTGGACTTGCATTTAGGTCTTTAATCCATTTTGAGTTTATTTTTGTGTATGGTGTTAGGGAGTGAGCTAATCTCATACTTTTACATATACCTGTCCAGTTTTCCCAGTACCACTTATTGAAGAGGCTGTCCTTTCTCCACTGTACATTTTTTAAAAGGTGGCTACTGGTTACTGGCCCTGAAAGTGAAATGAGTACTTGTGTTTGGCAATGGGAATTCACCACTACAGTGATGCCTTGCCATGAAAATCTAACCTATGTAAAATTATGACACTGTTTCCGTTTCACATCTTGCATACCTTTTTCATTCTTCCTTCTTCCCACTCAAGGTAAGCTAAAGACAGCGTCCTTCAATCTAATGCACCACAATTGGAACTCTGGCCACTCAAACACATTCACACCTTCCCCCTTATTTGCAAAGACTTTCTATGAGTCTGAGGGAGAGAGAGCTCATACATAATACACTTTAACAAATCAAAAGCACATCCCAGCATCACCTGGAGTTCCTGCCTTATGGTCATGCTTTCTCAAAGCCAACTTTCTCTCTCCTGCTAGTCAAAGTCACTATCATTTATTGAATAGCCATTATTATTTTCCAGATATTGGGAAACTCATTATGACAAATCGACAAGGTAGGAATTATTATCTCCATTTAACAGATGAGGAACTGAGACTCAGAAATACCCATTAATTTGTGCAAAGTTGTCCAGCTAGTAAGTATCAGAGCTGGGTTTCAAAACCAGGTCTTTATATAATACTTATAAGCCTTTGCTTTCCTCTACAGAATACTGCTATCTGAGTGATTACATAAGAAGCAAATAGGCAGAAAAACATATTAAAAAAAAAAAAGGTGATGAGATTAAAGCACTACTGTTCTTTTCTTTAAAACTTTATTGAAGTATAGTTGATTTACAGTGTTGTGTTAATTTCTGCTGTACTGCAAAGTCATTCAGTTATACACATATTCTTTTTCATATACTTTTCCATTATGGTTTATCACAGGGTATTGAATAGAGTTCCCTGTGCTTTACAGTAGGAGCTTGTTGTTTATCCATTCTATATATAATGGTTTGCATCTGCTAATCCCAAACTCCCAATCCTTCCCTTCCACAGCCCCACCCCCTTGGCAACCATGAGTCTGCTCTCAATGTCTGTGAGTCTGTTTTTGTTTCATAGATATGTTCATTTGTGTCATATTTTAGATTCCACATATAAGTGATATCAGATGGCATTTGTCTTTTTCTTATTTCACTTAGTATGATATCTCAGGTCCATCCATGTTGCTGCTAATGGCATTATTTCGTTATTTTCTATGGCTGAGTAGTATTCCATCATATAAATGTACCACATCTGTGGGGTTTTTTTAACATCTTTATTGGAGTATAATTGCTTTACAATGGTGTGCTAGTTTCTGATGTATAACAAAATGAATCAGCTATACATATACATATAACCCCATATCTCCTCCTTCTTGCGTCTCCCTCCTACCCTCCCTATCTCACCCCTCTAGGTGGTTAAAAGCACTGAGCTGATCTCCCTGTTCTATGTGGCTGCTTTCCAATAGCTCTCTATTTTACATTTGGTAGGGTATATATGGCCATGCCACTCTCTCACTTACCCTTGTCCTCCCCCCCATGTCCTCAAGTCCATTCTCTATGTCTGCATCTTTATTCCTGTCCTACTCCGAGGTTCTTCAGAACACTTTTTTTTTTTTAAGATTCCATATATATGTGTTAGCATACGGTATTTGTTTTTCTCTTTCTGACTTATTTCATTCTGTATGACAGAATATAGGTCCATCCACCTCGCTACAAATAACTCAATTTCGTTTCTTTTTATGGCTGAGTAATATTCCATTGTATATAAGTGCCACATCTTTTTACCCATTCATCTGTCGATGGACACTTAGGTTGCTTCCTGGCTACTGTAAATAGTGCTGCAATGAATACTGGGTACATGGCTCTTTTTGAATTACGGCTCTCTGGATATATGCCCAGCAGTGGGATGCCCAGCAGTGGGTAGTTCTATTTTTAGTTGTTTAAGGAACCTCCATAGTGTTCTCTGTAGTGGCTGTATCAATTTACATTCCCGTCAACAGTGCAAGAGTGTTCCCTTTTCTCCACACCCTCTCCAGCATTTATTGTTTCCAGATTTTTTGATGATGGTCATTCTGACTGGTGTGAGGTGATACATCATTGTAGTTTTGATTTGCATTTCTCTAATGATTAGTGATGTTGAACATCCTTTTATGTGTTTGTTGGCAATCTGTATATCTTCTTTGGAGAAATGTCTGTTTAGGTCTTCTGCCCATTTTTGTACTGGGTTGTTTGATTTTTTGATATTGAGCTGCATGAGCTGCTTGTATATTTTGGAGATTAATCTTTTGTCAGTTGCTTCATTTGCAAATATTTTCTCCCATTCTGAGGGTTGTCTTTTGGTCTTGTTTATGGTTTCCTTTGCTGTGCAAAAGCTTTTAAGTTTCATTATGTCCCACTTGTTTATTTTCGTTTTTATTTCCATTTCTCTAGGAGGTGGGTCAAAAAGGATCTTGCTGTGATGTATGTCATAGAGTGTTCTGCCTCTAGGTTTTCCTCTAAGAGTTTTATAGTTTCTGGCCTTACATTTAGGTCTTTAATCCATTTGGAGTTTATTTTTGTGTATGGTGTTATGGAGTGTTCTAATTTCATTCTTTTACATGTAGTTGTCCAGTTTTCCCAGCACCACTTATTGAAGAGGATGTCTTTTCTCCATTGTATATTCTTACCTCCTTTGTCAAAGATAAGGCGACCATAGGTGCGTGGGTTTATCTCTGGGCTTTCTATCCTGTTCTATTGGTCTATATTTCTATTTTTGTGCCAGTACCATACTGTCTTGATTACTATAGCTTTGTACTGTAGTCTGAAGTCAAGGAGGCTGATTTCTCCAGCTCCATTTTTCTTTCTCAATATTGCTTTGGCTATTTGGGGTCTTTTGTGTTTCCGTAAAAATGTGAAATTATTTGTTCTAGTTTGTGAAAAATGTCATTGGTAATTTGATAGGGATTGCATTGAATCTGTAGATTGCTTTGGGGAGTATAGTCATTTTCACAATGTTGATTCTTCCAATCCAAGAACATTGTATATCCCTCCATCTGCTTGTATCCTTTTTCATTTCTTTCATAAGGGTCCTATAGTTTTCTGCATACAGGTCTTTTGTCTTCTTAGGTAGGTTTATTCCTAGATATTTTATTCTTTCTGTTGCAGCAGTAAATGGGAGTGTTTCCTCAATTTCTCTTTCAGATTTTTCTTCATTATTGTATAGGAATGCAAGAGATTTCTGTGCATTAATTTTGTATCTTGCTACTCTACCACATTCATTGATTAGCATTAGTAGTTTTCTGGTAGCATCGTTAGGATTCTCTATGTATAGTATTATGTCATCTGCAAACAGTGACAGTTTTACTTCTTCTTTTCCAATTTAGATTCTTTTTATTTCTTTTTCTTCTCTGATTGCTGTGGCTAAAACTTCCAAAACTATGTTGAATAATAGTGGTGAGAGTGGGCAACCTTGTCTTCTTCCTGATCTTAGTGGAAATGGGTTCAGTTTTTCACCATTGAGAACGATGTTGGCTGTGGGTTTGTCATATATGGCCTTTATAATGTTGACATAAGTTCCCTCTATGACTACCTTCTGGAGGGTTTTTATCATAAATGGGTGTTGAAGTTTGTCAAAAGCTTTTTCTGCATCTATTGAGATGATCATATGGTTTTTATTCTTCAGATTGTTAATATGGTGTATCTCACTGATTGATTTGAGTATATTGAAGAATCCTTGCATTCCTGGGATAAACCCCACTCAATCATGGTGTATGATCCTTTTAATGTGCTGTTGGATTTTGTTTGCTAGTATTTTGTTGAGGATTTTTGCATCTATGTTCATCAGTGATATTGGCCTGTAGTTTTCTTTCTTTGTGATATCCTTGTCTGGTTTTGGTATCAAGATGATGGTGGCCTCGTAGAATGAGTTTAGGAGTGTTCCTCCCTCTGCTATATTTTGGAATAGTTTGAGAAGGATAGGTGCTAGCTCTTCTCTAAATGTTTGATAGAATTTGCTTATGAAGCCATCTGGTCCTGAGCTTTTGTTTGTTGGAAGATTTTTAATCATAATTTCAATTTCAGTGCTTGTGATTGGTCTGTTTATATTTTCTATTTCTTCCTGGTTCAGTCCCAGAAGGTTGTGCTTTTCTAAGAATTTGTCCATTTCTTCCAGGTTGTCCACTGTATTGGCATAGAGTTGCTTGTAGTAATCTCTCATGATCTTTTGCATTTCTTCAGTTTCAGTTGTTACTTTTTCATTTCTAATTCTGTTGATTTGAGTCTTCCCTTTTGTCTTGATGAGTCTGGCTCATGGTTTATCAATTTTGTTTATCTCTCAAAGAACCAGCTGTTAGTTTTATTGATCTTTGCTATTGTTTCCTTCATTTATTTCTGATCTGATCTTTATGATTTCTTTCCTTCTGCTAACTTTGGGGTTTTTTTTGTTCTTCTTTCTCTAATTGCTTTAGGTGTAAGGTTAGGTTGTCGATTTGAGATGTTTCTTGTTTCTTGAGGTAGGATTGTATTCCTATAAACTTCCCTCTTAGAACTGCTTTTGCTGCATCCCATAGGTTCTGGGTCATCGTGTTTTCATTTTCATATGTTTCTAGGTATTTTTTGATTTCCTCTTTGATTTCTTCAGTGATCTCTTGGTTATTTAGTAGTGTATTGTTTAGCCTCCATGTGTTTGTATTTTTTACAGATTTTTTCCTGAAATTGATATCTAGTCTCATAATGTTGTGGTTGGAAAAGATACTTGATATGATTTCAATTTTCTTAAATTTACCAAGGCTTGATTTGTGACCCAAGATATGATCTTACCTAGAGAATGTTCCATGAGCACTTGAGAAGAAAGTGTATTCTGTTTTTTTTTGGATGGAATGTCCTATAAATATCAATTAAGTCCATCTTGTTTAATGTATCATTGAAAGCTTGTGTTTCCTTATTTATTTTCATTTTGGATGATCTGTCCATTGGTGAAAGTGAGGTGTTAAAGTCCCCTACCATGACTGTGTTACTGTTGATTTCCCCTTTCATGGCTGTTAGCATTTGCCTTATGTATTGAGGAAAGCACTACTATTCTGATTCCTCTTCTAAACCTTCCGCCCTTGTGAAGGCCTGGAAACAAATAAGCAAACTATGGAGAATTTAAACAGTTAGGTATTTTATAGTTATTTTTATTATTATCTATTTTGATTTTATTATATATATAGCTATTTTTTTTACAGTTACTGTATGTCTCTTTTGCTGCAGGAATTAATTTCCTGTATGCTGCAACTCATGAACTTGGCCATTCCTTGGGTCTGGATCATTCATCTGATCCTAATGCTGTGATGTATCCAACTTATGGAGAAGGCGATTACAAGAATTTCAAACTTTCACAGGATGATATCAATGGAATTCAGAAATTATATGGTAATATTTATGATTTCCATATTTCCAATGTCTCCTTAAGACATTGCCTCCTTTGGGTAGGCTTGAATGAGAAAGGCTGGGAAATAGGTATTTACTTGGAAAAACACACTGGAATTTTTATATCTAAAAGCCTATTGAGGGGAGAAATTTGAGACATTAGATACTTGAAATTTAATCATGCTATTTTATACTATGAGGATATTGATCTTAAGTTTTAAGTAATACAGTATCATTTGGTGAAATCATGAAAATGACGCTTTCAAACGTTTTTTGTAAGCTGCCACTCACTCTTCTTTCTTACTTGGTTCAAATATTTTAGGGAGCCTCCCCCATAGGGACGGACAGAGGAACATAACACCTTCCCCCGTAGCTTCCCGCTCCCAAGGGTTTGGCCCTAAGTGCTTAAAAGTTACCCAATTTTTCCTGCCTGTATATATGCATAGGGAAATGGGTTAACCATAGACAGTGACTTCTTATTATTGCTGGTCATGACGGGTATGAATATACCATGTCCCAATCTACACTTTTTTGTTTTAATCAAGTTCCAAATTCAGTTTAAAAGAATAAACTGATTTGTATTTGCTTGATCAAGTCAGAAAGAGTAATGTGAGAAAGGAATCAAAGGACAAGGATAAAAAGCCATGTCTCTAGATAAATATGAGAATAGTAAGAGTCAAAGAAGCTAAATAAATCGTCCAAGGACAAGAGGCTGCTGAGTTCTTGAACAAAGATTCCAAGCCAGGGCTGCATGATTTCACATTCTTTCTACTTCATATTTCAGCCTATCACTACTTAATATGCTTCTAAAAGCAATTTGGAAAAGAAAATACATACAGAATGATATCTTTAAGTACACAGATATAATTAAACCTTTCCAGCAAATTACCAGGATGATAAGAATATTAGGCAAAAAGATAACATAAGAGTCTCTGAATGTTCAGAAGAGCAATGAAAGTGCTTCCACATAATAAATAATGTAATGTCCTCAGGGGGAAATTACTCCTGTAGGATAATGGATTTAAGCTGTCCGTTGAACCTATAACTTACTATCCATCAGCATCTCCCAAACTGTGTTCCCAGAACACTGGTCCTACCAGACAATTCCCCAAAAAAAGATGCTTTGGAGATACAAGTTCAAAAACCACTACCTACTGTATTTAAAGTGCACAGGATGTTAAAAGGGATCTAACAAACTGTCATTTAACTCAGTGCTTCCCAAATTATAATCCTTTTTGTGGCACACCCATTGAGCCCTCTCAGAATAGCATTTCAGAGAAATTTGGAAAATACCATTAACTGTACCACAAAGTTCTGACTTAAGGAGCTGCTGCTGTCCAAAAAAGTTCACGGAACACTGACAATTGTTGGTAAAGTCAACACCAACAAAACAGAAAATAGTACCTCCCCTTATATAAAACTATGGAACTTACAGAATACTCTATGGCATGTATAACTATCTTTGAACCTTAAGAAAATTAGAAAGGGCCTGAAAAATGTTCTTCGGCAGACTGATTAGATTTAACATAAAGAAGATGGATTAGTGCATTAAATCCTTAAGTATTAGACAGTGAAGTGCCTCTAGTCAAAGTTGGAAAGAGGTAGCTTCTGGACAAATGAAAGTAAGATTTAATTACATAGGTTTTTTTTTGTTTTTTTTGTTTTTTTTGTTTTTTGCGGTACGCGGGCCTGCTCACTGTTGTGGCCTCTCCCGCTGCAGAGACAGGCTCTGAACGCGCAGGCCCAGCGGCCATGGCTCATGGGCCCAGCCGCTCCGCGGCACGTGGGATCCTCTCAGACCGGGGCACGAACCCGTGTCCCCTGCATCGGCAGGCGGACTCTCAACCACTGCACCACCAGGGAAGCCCTACATAGGTTTTTAATGTAGGTAGTTTATTAATACAAGAAGTGATGTGAGCAGAAAATATAAATTCAAAAGAATGTGGTTAAACTCATGGATATAAAATTCCCAATGTTCCTTTCAGAATAATAAAAATAATAGCTAAAATGCATCAAGTTTTTATAGTGTACCAGGCATTTCATGTGCAATAGCTTATTTAATTCAACAATCCAATGAGTTGTTACTGTCCTCATTTTACAGGCTAGTAATCTAACATGAAGAGAAGCTAAGTAATAACTTACCCAAGATCACATGGCTGGTAAAATTATAGAGTGAAAAGACAGGGTGCAAAGATATCTGACCACCCAGGGACTACACTCCATACAGTGTTGCCTTTTTAGCCTTTGGATGTTGTTCTTCAGAACCGTTGTCCCAGGCACAGAAACTGGGCTGGGTGAATGACGGACTGTACATGCAGTGACATTTCTTGTGTTTTTATAGTCTTAGGATTTTTAAATATGTTTTATACGTTGTCAGAATGTTCTTATTTTGTCTCTTCACAGGAAAGAGAAATGTTTCAAGAAAAAATTAGAAACTTCAGGGAGAACACACATTCATTCATTGGATTCTATATAGTTGTTCCCAACCAGAATTAAAGAACACTGTTGCTGCACTCCATTTACCCCTTGCTGCCTCCACCCTTGTATTGTGGTTGGTTTTTGTACATCTCTCTCCCCCTCCGGGGATAAACCCTACTATGACATTACTATGTCTTACTCATCTATGACTCTCCTCAAGCAACATGCACTTGGTGGATGTCAATAAATGTTAAATACATAGATAAATAAAATTTTTATTCCATGGTAAAATGATTTCTATTTGGAAGTACTGTTTCTGTGGCAAGAGAAGATATGCTAAGACTAAGACCAGAAAAAATAATTAAATAACTCCACCACATTATTTTGGGACTTCAGCTGCACCTCACCCTATCACCAGTTGGGTAAGGTATAGTATAGTATAGTATAGTATAGTATAGTATAGTACAGTATAGTATAAACCAAGATAGTATAACCCAAAGGTACCTTAAATTCCTCTCATCCTTTGGTCCAATCCCTCACTCTGAGTATTCTGGGAAGTCCAAATCTTCCCACAAAATGTGTGTGAATTCCCAGGGATTTACATTCTCACAATCCCTTCTGGCACCAAGTTCCTGCCCCTGAACTGACTTCATGGCATCTCTCCGACCACAGCTGCTCTGTGTTCCCTTTCCTCTGCCCCATCACAACCCAAATATCAATCTCACCCTCTTCTCTTTTACTTTCTCCAAACCAGTCCTACAAGGCTTTTGTGAGATTGTTGACACTGCTGAAGATTTGCATCAATGGTGAGATTTTACACTGCACAAGGACAATGAAACTGAACTAAACTCAAATTGGATATTATTCTCACACTTCAAATCCTTTACCCATCCCAGCACCAGGAATTTCCCACTGGCCACCTACCTCTGCAGGCTCCAACCTCCTACCACATCTCTCCCTAATCCTCAAATCTCTAAACCCCAGTCCTTCTGACTTCCCTCAGAAACTCATTTCCTGAGGTTCAGGTAGCTCTCCCTCTCCGTGCACAGAGACTCGCTACTGTGTTTCTGTGGGAAAAACACTCTCTATGCGGGGCTTAACCCTTTAGCAGGACACAGAGCTGGCAAAGGCTTTTCCATTTCAGCTGTTCCTCCTCCATATTCCCTGCACCCATGCATGGGTTTCTCTACAAATAGAGGGATAAATAATTGTAATTTACTTTCTTACTGATACAAATTATGCCACACATAAGCACACTGAAAAGATGTATTCATTTTTAAAAATTTCATTTAAGGATTTTTTTTCACCCAAAATGGATCAATAATCCAAAACTCAGAAATACCACCAAAACCATTAAGGAGCCATTCCAGGGACAGATAAAATGAGGGGGGAATCTACAACCTAGGCAAAATGAGTTATATATTTAAAGACTCTCTTAAAACATAAGGGAATAGGTCTATAATAAAAATGAAAAGGAAGAAGTCATTAACTTTAATTTCTTCATTTTGTAGATGATAAAACAGATCAAGAGAGGTTAAATTTCCATAAATTTTGCAGTAAACAAACGTGTCCTGTGATTAAAGCATTTTGTTTGTTTGCCTGTTTGCATTTTGGTTTGGGCAGCAGAAGGCAATATCTATCTTGTAGCTGAAATGGATATTGTTTTTACCTGCCCAGCATCCCTTCACCCTAATTTTTGGGACAGGGACAGTCTTTCCCCTTTGCATATTATCTTAGTGAGACATACTTTAATATGCCACATGCTGCCAAGGAAGGGAGTACAGGACCCAAGTTTGGCCTATCAGACACTCCCTCTTAAAACACCAGACAGACACTGATTCACCCTGGTAGTGGGTTTTGGAAACACCACCTATTCATTCCTGCACCCAGATAAATCTCTGAAGCTGCCTTGGGTCCTGTCCTACAAACAGCTTAGGTACAGGGCGTCTCTTCCAGGTTTTGCAGCTGACTGCATTGCCTTCTAATAAATTTTGTCTTTTGCTATGTTAGCAAGAGTCAGTTTATATCTGTTGCTTGCAAATCCCTGATACAGTAGCTTGAATGGCTCTCCTATGGTATCTGATATATGGACTCTGTTATATATCTCACCACATACTCCAATATTAACTCTATGAAGTTAAGCACTAACTGAGCATAGAAGTTGAATTTTCTTATTCCTATCCAAAAACCATAAAGCTGACTTCTAAAGAGAAATTTTGCCTAGAAAATAAGGAACCATGTTCTTTTTTTTAAAATTGTGGTAAAATACACATAACGTAAAATTTATCAACTTAACCATTTTTAAGTATATAGTTCAGTATTAAGTATATTCACATTGTTGTACAAGGGTAAATGTTCTTACCATTAGCATTATTAGCATGTTCAACTGAATAATTCTTTGTTAGAGGCTATTCCGTGCATTGTAGGATGCTCAGCAGCATCCCCTGGCCTCTCCCCACTAGATGCCAGTAAAACATCCTCAGTTGTGGAAACCAAAGATGTCTTCAGACATTGCCAAATGAACCCTGAGGGGCAAAATAGCCCCCAGTTGAGATCCATGGAGCTAAAGAAAATAAATTCCTATTTCACTGCATTATACTCAATGTCCCTTTTTACCTTTCTTTATCCCTACCATCTGGTAATCCTGTGTCATCCCATGGGAAAGGAAAACCAATAAAAGATTAATGTGGCTTTGTCTGTTTTTGACACTTATTTGAGGAAAGGACTGTCATAATTTAAGGAATAAAACCAACTGTATGCCAAAGCCAAGATGATGTATATTTATAGAAGTTCACAAAACTTGTTTGTATTCTGTCAATTATTTATATTGTTATCTTTTCTAATTTTAATGTCAAACTTCAGTTTAAGATAAAGGGCTGAGCACATGAATTTGTCTTCACTCCCCTCTGAGTCTCCATTTAATTGGTAGTAGGGCAATAAAACAGAATAGGCGGAAGAAGTCTATCCATATACAAGGAATTTCAATAAATTTCTGACGACCTAACACAGCTGATAGGTGAAACATATCAGACTTAGCCTGGGATATATGAAGAGGTCTCAGGTGGAAATGGGAGTTAACTATGGTTACAGGATGAAATGTAAATTTGATCAATCATGACAAGGTAAAAATGTAGGAAGTTGGAGTACATTGCCAATTTCACATATTATAAAACATACATGTTTACATATTAACATTGTTAAAAATAAGATGACATCTTGCAGCTGGGGCTGGCAGTTCTCCAGAAGATTTGGGTTTGCTTCTGCCAATCACATGGAGCCCTATCAACCTGAGATCACTTTATATTACATCATTTGCTTGGGGTTGTTCAGATTACACTGTTCATGTGAATTCAGTCAGCAAATCTGTAGGAGTACCAGCTTGGAGACCACATATTCAGAAAGTATGTCTTTTTCCTCTCAGTACTATGACTGAGGAAGCCATGTGCCCTTGCTGCCTTGTTGGTGTTGCAGGTTTATTTCTCTTTTATCCTTGCACTGAAAGACCAGCCATTTGGTCTCCCAGCTTTAAGTCAGGATCCCCTGTTAGAATCTGCTTCTTGAACATCTTTTCTTTTTTCATAGTACACAAAGAGGTGGTTTCATCCTACAATAGATGACATTTTAATTCATCAAAATGTGCTAATTGAAATACGAAGTTTAGATGTAGTATGTGAAAAGACACAAAACTTTGTACAGTAATCTTCCCTTATTTTAAATGTCACTTTTCCAGAACTGTTGATTTCTTGTCAGTCTTTTTAGGGATAAACACAAATAACAGTCACCTTCAGGATGTTGACTGCTTCCCCTGACAGTCCTTATTCTCTGAGAAGTGCCACCGACCCACAGTGGACCTCAGGCGGCAAGTGTGTACTATCCCACCTCCTGCCACAGGTGTCTGGAACAAGGGCAGACACCCACCTCAGGTAAGGCCCTTTAGGTATCTTCTCCAGGGGGACTGTGATTCCACTCACTTATTTATTCAATAATATTTATTGAGTGTTTACCATGTTCCAGGCACTGTTTAACCTTGAGGATATAATTCCAAACAAAGAAAATCACTATGCCCATGGATCCCACAAACTCACCAAAAACAATGAACAGAGAGACCCAGAGACTGGGATTTCTGAGCTGAGCCTTGTTACTGGTGAGATTCTATAGGAAAGATCCATAAATTCCTGTGGCTAAAGATGTCAGAAATTCTGAAGTGCTTTCATTTCCCAAGGCCTTGTTGTTCAATAGTTTTCTGGATTCCATAGGCAGTCTAATGTCCTCCCAATAAATCTCCTTTTTAACTAAGCTAATACCAAAACAAACAAGTCCAACAATTAAGAGAAATAGTATAATATAGGCATCTTCTTCCTCCCTTCACTATCATCATCTACCTTTTTTGCCATGAAACCTTCCAGATAAATGGACACCAACAATACAGAACAAAGATCAGATCAAAGTGACTGAAGTGGTGTAGACTGTGCCAGCCCAGTGTGAAGCTAACCAAAGCTTCTCTTACTTTGTTGTCATTGCCATTGCTGATAATGTAAAAATAATGATATGTAATGAAAAGAGTATTGAACTGTATCTGAAGTTCTGTTTTGATCCTGGCTATGTTCTAACAGATAGTAAGGAAGCCTTGGGCTTCCTTATCTTCTCTTGGCTATGTGCTATCCTTTGTTTTAATTCTCTCACTTCATAAAGCAGGACTTAAGATCTAGAATTCAATGATCAACTAAGGTTTCACTCTTGACTAAATTTACCTATCAATTTGATCAGGAAAAACAAGGATATGAAGGTAAACGTGTGCCATCAGAATCACTCACTGAGGCTCTACAAGGGAAACAACCCTAGTTTACAGCACTCAAAGAAGATACAAATATATATATATATATGTATATATCACTTTAAAATACACAAGCAAAATCAAGTAGTTAACTGAACTGCATATATATATATATATATATATATATATAGGCATCTCCTTTTCTTCACCTGGCAATCCTACAGTTTTTCACACCTCAACCTTGACATTCCCATCCCCAAAAGACCTCCACTTGACCTCACACTCCCCTACACCTGCCTAGCTTCCCCTCTTATGATTTTCCATGGTACCAAACAGGTACCCCTCACAGTCATCTTTTATCTCACTGAATTATAATCTTCTGATGAATTATGACAATATCCACTAGATTGGAAGCTCCTTGATGAAACTGAATATGTTTTTGTGTAAAGAAAAATTATTCCTGAAACACAATGAAAGGTTCACTCACAGAAACCTCTCATTTAGGTTGTGTCCAAATTAATAAATCATTCAAACACTTCTAAAAGACATAAGATCAAGCTATACATTAGAATGTAATTGGATTGATGCCCTAGAAATTATGAAAAAGAAAACAAAACTTTACAAAGAAACACAGAGGAGGATTCTGGGAAGATGGTGGAGTAGGAAGCATCAGAAATGTATCTCCCCACCTAGACAAAAAAATGCACTGGCAAACTCTGTTTGATGCAACTCGTTTGGAACTGTGGAGTCTATTGAAGGCGTGAAACTTCCAGGGGAAGGCTTGGACAGTAAATTACAGTCAATATTGGTCAATTTCAGCTCTTAGTATATTGGTAGCTGCCCACCTCTCAGCCCCATGGCAGGGAGCTGTGCACATCCTCCTGGAGCAGCCTGTACACAGCTTGCACACAGCTGTGGGAGTGAGGGTGTCCTCCAAGTACTAGAGATCTGATATCTTATCACTGACTGCTGCTTCTCATCACACAGGTGCAGACAAAAAGGCAACAGCCATTGTGGTTGCAATTCCTCCCATCATTGCAAGTCCCTCTCACTCCTGCCAAAGTGACTTCCAGCTGCTTTAAAGGATCAGTAATTTTTTTCTCCCTCATTTTTGTCTTTTTTCCCTATTGGGAGTCAGATAGAAGACTAGGAAATTCAAAAGCAACTGTATATCTAGGGAATATTAGAAAGTTACCACACATGCCCCGGAGAAGGTGCAGGCTCAGAAAAGACATAAGAAAATCTTATATTGCACCACAGGCAGATCCTTGGAACAGAGACAGTCTATAACAATAAAAAATAAATAAACAAAAACAAAGAATTAGCCAACACTGTGAAAGACAGAGAATCAGATTTCCAGTTACCACATTATTAGATTCAGCTGTCCAGTTTTCAACAACAACAAAGAAAAAAGAAAAAATCACAAGGCAATCAAAGAAACCACAAAGTATGACTCATTCAAAGGAAAAAAAAAATCTATCCCTGAGAAATACCTGATGGTGGACTTACTACAAAAATCTTTAAAGCAACTATCTTAAGATGATCAAACAACCAAAAGAAGACATGGGGAAAATCAAGAAAACAATGTATGAACAAAATGGAAATATCAATAAAGAAATGTTGAAAAGAAACCAAAAAGAAATTCTGGAGCTGTAAAGTAAAATCACTAAAATTTTAAAATTCACTAAAGGAGTTCAAAGAGATTTGAGTAGGCAGAAGAAAGAACCAGCAAACTTGAAAATAGGACAATGGAAATTATTAAATTATAGGAACAGAAAGAAAAAAGACTGAGGAAAAGTGACCATCAAGCAGACCAACATACACACTGTGGGAGTCCCAGAAGGAGACAAGAGAAAAGGACGTAGGAAATACTTGAAGAAATAATGGCCAACAACTTCCCAAATTTGATGAAAGACATGAATATAAATATCAAATAAATTCAACAAATTCCAAGTAGATAAATTTAAAGAAACCCACACCAAGACACATTTCAATCAAACTGAAAGGCAAAGACAAAGAGGGACTCTTGAAAGCAACAAGAGAGAAGCAACTCATCACATACAAGGGATCCTCAATCAGATTATAAGCAAATTTCTCATCAGAAATTTTGGAGATCAGATGTATTAACCTGATATATTCAAAGTGCTAAAAGAAAAAATACTGTCAACCAAGAACTGTATATCTGGTGAAACTGTCCTTCAAAAATGAGGGAAGGGAATTCTCTGGAGGTCCAGTAATTAGGAGTCAGTTCTTTCACTGCTGTGGGCCCGGGTTCAATCCCTGGTCGGGGAACTAAGATCCTGCAAGCTGCACAGTGCAGCCAAAAGAAAAAAAAGTGAGGGAAAAATTAAGACATTACCAAATGAAAGCAGAAGGCATTCATAACCACTAGACCTGCCTGCAAGAAATGCTTATAGGAGTCCCATAGGTTGAAGTGAAAGGACAGTAATTCAAAGCCATATGGATAAATAGAGATCTCAGTAATGTAAATATATGGCCAATTATATATTGTAATAATGACGTATAACTCCACTTTTTTTTTCTACATGATTTAAGAGACTAATTTTTTTTTTAATTATTAGTCTAAAACTAGGATTATTGTAACTTTGGTTTGTAACTCCACATTGTTTTCTACATAACTTAAGAGATTTTTAAAATTACTAGTTTATATTTTAGGACACACAATTGTATAAAGATGTAATATTGTGACATCAACAACTGAAAGCGGTGGAGATAAAACTGTTAAAGGAGAAAAGTTTTTGTATGTTATTGAAATTAAGCAAGTATAAATTAAAATTAGAGTGTTATAACTTTAGGATGTTAAATGTAATCCCCATGATAACCACAAAGAAAATAGCTCAATAATACACACAAAGGAAATGAAAAGAGAATTTAAATATTTCACTACTAAAAAGCAACTAAACATAAAAGAAGACAGTAATGCAAGAAATGAGGGACAAAAAATTATAAGGCATATAGAAAAAAAATAGCAAAATGGCAGAAGTAAGTTCCTCATCAGTAATTACTTTAAATGTAAACAGATCAAATTCTCCAATCAAAAACAGAGATTAGCCGAATGGATTTTTAAAAATATGATACAACTATGTACTGTCTACAGGAGACTCACTTTAGATCCAACGACACAAATATGTTGAAAGTGAAAAGATAGAAAAGTATATTCTACACAAATACTAACCAAAAGAGAGCAGGGGTGGCTATACTAGTAGCAGATAAAATATACTTTAAATGAAAAAAGTTTACAAGAGGGCTTCCCTGGTGGCGCAGTGGTTGAGAGTCCGCCTGCCGATGCAGTGGACACGGGTTCGTGCCCCGGTGCGGGAAGATCCTACATGCCGCGGAGCAGCTGGGCCCGTGAGCCATGGCCGCTGAGCCTGTGCATCCGGAGCCTGTGCTCCGCAACGGGAGAGGCCACAACAGTGAGAGGCCCACACACTGCAAAAAAAAAAAAAAAGTTTACAAGAGTCAAAGAAGGATATTATATATTAACAAAAGTTTGATACAGCAAGATTATATAACAGGGAGTTCCCTGGTGGTCTAGTGGTTAGGATTTGGAGTTTTCACTGCTATGGCCTGGGTTCAATCCCTAGTCAGGGAACTGAGATCCCACAAGCCACGTGGCACAGCCAAAAAAACCCAAATTCTTTGGGAGTTCCCCAGTGGTCCAGTGGTTAGGATTCGACACTTTCACTGCCATGGCCTAGGTTCAATCCCTAGTCGGGGAACTAAGATCCCACAAGCCACAAGGCACAGCCAAAAAAAAAAAAAAAGATTATATAACAATTATAAATATTGTACATCTAATAACAGATCATCAAAATATACAAAACAAAAATTGACAGAATTGAAGGGAGAAATAGATAGTTCTACGATAATAGTTGAAAACTTTAATGTCTCACTCTCAACAATGGATAAAACAACCAGGCAGAAGATAAGTAAGGAGACAGAACTTGAACAACACAATAAAAAAGCTAGATCTAAGAGAAATATTCAGAACACTCTAAACAACAACAGAAGATGCATTCTTCTCAAGAGCCATGAGATATTTTCCAGGACATGTGACCATATGCTAGGTCACAATAAGTCTCAACAAATTTTAAAAGATAGATATCATATAAAGTATCTTCTCAGACCACAACAGGATGCAGTTAGAAATCAATAACAGAAATAAAACTGGAAAATTTACAAATTTGTGGAAATAAAGCAACACACCTTTAAAAAGCCAATGAATCAAAGACAAAATCACAAGAGAAATTAGAAAATATTTAAATATTAATGAAAGTGAAAACACAGTATACCAAAACTTATGGGATGCAGCCAAAGGAGTGTTAAGGGGGAAATTTATAACTATAAATGCTTACATTAAAAAACAACAAATATCTCAAGTCAAAAACTTAACTTTACAACTTAAGGAACTAGATAAAGAAGAATGAACTAAACCAAAGCTAGCAGGATGAAAGATATAATAAAGGTTAGAGCAGAGATAAGTGAAACAGAGAATAGAAGAATAATACAGAAAATCAGTGAAGCCAAAAGTTGGTTCTTGAAAATGATCAACAAATGTAAAGTGGTAGAGCCATCTTGGAAGACAGTTTCGTGGTTTCTTACAAAACTAAACATAATCTTACCATACGATCCAGGAGTCACACTCCTTGGTATTTACTCCAAAAAGCTGAAAACTTGCATATGGATGTTCAAAACAGCTTTATTCATAATTGCCAAAATGTAGAAGCAACCAAGGTGTCCTTCAGTGGGTGAATGAATATACTGTGATTTATCCAGACAATGGAATATTATTCAGCACTAAAAAGAAATGAGCTACCAAGTCATGAAAAGACATGGAGAAAATGTAAATGCCTATTACTAAGTGAAAGAAGTCAATATGAAAAGGCTACATACTGTATTATTCCAGCTATATGACATTCTGGAAAAGGCAAAACTATGGAGACAGTAAAAAGATCAATGGTTCCCAGGAATGTGGGGAGGACAAGAGATGTTGGTGGAGCACAGGGGATTTTTTAGAGCAGTGAAAATACTTTGTGCGATGCCATAATGATGGATACATGTAATTATATACTTGTCCAAACCCATAGAATGTACAACAACTAAAGTAATGTTAACTGTAATGTAAACTATAGACTCTGGGTAATCTTGATGTGTCAGTTAAAGTTCATCAATCGTAACAAATGTGCCACTCTGGTGGGTGATGTTGATAACAGCGGATGCTATGTGTGTAAGGGGATAAGAGGTATGTGGGAAATCTCTGTACCTTCCACTCAATTTTGCTGTGATCTTAAGATGTCTCTTAAAAATAGTCTTAATTAAAAAAAACTATAGATTAAAAATAACATTACAAAAAGAAAATAAAATAACATTCAATCTGGACTGTTTAAAATAAAAAAATTGACAAACCTTTAGCTAGATGGACTAAGAAAAAAAGGAATAAGCCTCAAATTACTAAAATGAGCAATAAAAGTGGGGGCATTACTACTGATCCTAGAAAAATAAAAAGGATTATAAGAGAGTGCTATAAGTAATTCTACACCAAAAAAAAATGTATAACCTAGACTAAAGGGACAAATTCCTAGAAATGCAAAACATACCAAGATTAAACCATGAAGAAATAGAAAATCTGGATAGACTATAACTAGTAAGGAGATTAAATCACTAATCAAAAATCTCCTGATACAGAAAAGCCTTGGACCTGAGGGCTTCACCAGTGAATTCTATCAAACATTTAAAGAAGAACTAACATCGATCCTTCTCAAACTTTTCCAAAAATTGAAGAAAAAGGAACACTCCTTAACTCATTATATAAAATCAGCATTATCCTTCTATCAAAGCTAGACAAAGACACTACAAGAAAAAAAAAAAAAAAAACTACAGACCAATATTCCTTATAAAACTGATGCAAAAATTATCAGCAAAATACTAATAAACCAAATTTAGCAGCATATTAAAAGGATTATATACCATGACCAAGTGTGATTTATTTCTGGAATGCAAAGATGGTGCAACAATATGAAAATCAGTGTAATACACCACATTAACAGAAAAAAGGAAAAAAACTACATAATCATCTCAATCGATGAAAAGCACATGACAAAAATTTAACACATTTTTATGATAAAAGCACTCAACACACTAGGGATAGAAGGAAACTACCTCAACATAATAAAAGCCATATATGAAAAATCCACAGTGAATGTCATACTCAATGGCGAAAGACCTAGATCTTTTCCTCTAAAATCAAGAACAAGGTAAGAATTCCTGCTATTGCCACTTCTATTCAAATGGTACTAGAAGTCCTAAGCAGAGCAATTAGACAAGAAAAAGAAATAAAAGCCATCAAATTGGAAAGGAATAAGCAGAATTATCTCTATTCACAGATAATATAATCTTATATACAAAAAACCCTAAAGCTTATATACACACACATGCACACACACACCAAAAAAACCTGTTAGAACTAATAAACAAATTCAGAAAAGTAGCAGGATACAAAGTCAACACACAAAAATCAGTTGCATTTCTGTACATTAACAATAAACAATTCCAAAACGAAATTAAGAAAACAATTCCCTTAATAATAATATCAAAAAGGATAAAATAGGGCTTCCCCGGTGGTGCAGTCATTGAGAGTCTGCCTGCCAATGCAGGGGACAAGGGTTCAAGCCCTGGTCTGGGAGGATCCCACATGCCACGGAGCAACTAGGCTCATGAACCACAACTACTGAGCCTGCGCATCTGGAGCTTGTGCTCCACAACAAGAGAGGCTGCGATAGTGAGAGGCCCGTGCACCGAGATGAAGAGTGGCCCCCGTTTGCCACAACTAGAGAAAGCCCTCGCACAGAAACGAAGACCCAACACAGCCAAACATAAATAAATTAATTAATTTTTTTAAAAAAGGATAAAATACTTGGGAATTAACAAGGAAGTGAAAGGGTTGTACAATAAGAATTATAAACAATTTCTGAAAGAAATTAAAGAAGAGAAATAAATAAATGGGAAGATCCCATGTTCATGAATTGGAAGACTTAATATTAAGATGTCAGTACTACCCAAAGTGATCCACATATTTAATACAATCCCAATTAAAATTCCAATGACATTTTTTGCAAGAATAGAAAAACTCATCCTAAAATTCATATAAAATTTCAAGGTACTCTGAATAGCCAAAACAATCCTGAAAAAGAATAACAAAGCTAGGGAACTCATATTTCCTAATTTCAAAACTTACTAGATAGAGGATACAGTGGGGGAAGGGGAGGCTGGATGTAGTGAGAGAGTGGCATTGACATATATACACTACCAAATGTAAAACAGATATCTACTGGGAAGCTGCTGCATAGCACAGGGAGATCAGCTTGGTGCTTTGTGATGACTTAGAGGGTTGGGATAGGGAGAGTGGGAGGTAGGCTCAAGATGGAGGGGATATGGGGATATATATATATGCATATAGCTGATTCTTTTTGTTGTACAGCAGAAACTAACACAATATTGTAAAGAAATTATACTCCAATAAAGATGTATAAAAAATAAATAAATAAATTTTTTTTAAAAACTTACTACAAAGCTACAGTCATCAAAACTGCGACATTGGCATATAGACAGCCATTGAGACCAATGGAATAGAATAAAGAGTCCAAAAATAAACCTTCACATACGTGATCAAATGATTTTCAACAAGGGTGTCAAAATGATTCAATGGAAAGAATACAGTTCTCAACAAATGATGTTGGTAAAACTGAATATCCACATGCAAAAGAATGAAGCTGGACCCTTTCTTAACATCATATACAAAAATTAACTCAAAATGGATCCATGGTTTAAATGTTAAGACCTAAAATATAAAACTTTTAGAAGAAAACATAAGGACAGAAGTTTCACAACACAGGATTTGGCAATGATTTTTTGAATATGACATGAAAGACACAGACAAAAACAACAAAATAAACAAATTAGGCTTCATGAAAAATTTTAAATGTTGTGCATTAAAAGAGACTACCGGGCTTCCCTGGTGGCACAGTGGTTGAGAGTCCTCCTGCCAATGCAGGGGACACAGGTTCATGCCCCAGTCCGGGAAGATCCCACATGCCGTGGAGTGGCTAGGCCCGTGAGCCATGGCCACTAAGCCTGCGCGTCTGGAGCCTGTGCTCCACAACGGGAGAGGCCACAACAGTGAGAGGCCCGGGTACCACAAAAAAAAAAAAGAGAGAGAGACTACAAACAGAGTAAAAGGGCAATCCACAAAATGGGAGAAAATATTGGCAAATCACATATCTGATTAAAGAATAATATCCAAAATACACAGAGAACTCCTAAAATTCAATAATAAAACAAACAACCTGATTCAAAAATAGGCAAAGGACTTGAACAGACATTTCTCCAAAGAAGATATACAAATGGCCAATAAGCACTTGAAAAGATGCTTAACATCACTAATCATTAGGGAAATACAAATCAAAACTACAATGATATACCACCTCACACCCCTTAGGATGACTACTATCAAAAAAACAGAACGACAAGTGTTGGTAAGGATGCAGAGAAACTGGAACCCTTGGTGCACTGTTGGTGGGAATGTAAAATGGCACAGCTGTTGTGGAAAGCAGTAGGGTGGTCCTTCAAAAAATTAAAATTGGGAAGATTGGTTCAAGATGGTGGACTAGAAGGACATGCTCTCACTTCCTCCAACAAGAAAACTGGAATCACAACTAAATGC